TGGGAGACATTTTCATTCCAACGGCTTAGATGTGGATGAAAAAAAAGGGAAAGGGGAGCAAAAAGGAAAAAAAAAAAGAAAGAAAGAAAAGAAAAGCAAAACAAGAAAAACCTTCAAAAACTTCCAAACAAGCCGGGCGGTGGTGGCGCACGCCTTTAATCCCAGCACTCGGGAGGCAGATCTCTGTGAGTTCGAGACCAGCCTGGTCTACAGAGCTAGTTCCAGGACAGGCTCCAAAGCCACAGAGAAACCCTGTCTCGAAAAACAAAAACAAAAACAAAAACAAAACAAAACAAAACAAAAAACTTCCAAACAAAGAACTTAAACTTTCTGAAGTTTCTTATAAAAATTCTTCCTTAATTCTTAACTCTTATTCCATGTCTGCTATGCACCTATGTGAAGATCCATTTATCTCAAAAGGGTGGCTTATGGTCGCTGTTAGTCTCAATGTAAACGTTGTGATGATTTCAGAGCTCTAGAAATGATGTTTATTATCATCTTGTCTTTTTAAAAGATGAAAATATGGGAGATATGTTAAATGTTAATAACTGATTAAAGTTTCAATCTGCCCATGCTATTTAAAATAATTTAGAAGTTCCTACCAACATTAAAGTGGATATGCATTTTCTTACTTTACCATCTTTCAATTTGGCAGCCTTTAAAACTGTTGCCTGCAATCTTGTAGATTAAAGATGTTATTTGTAAATTTCTAGAATTTGTACATATTTTATGCATATAATGGTGGTAAAATTGTTTCTTTTTGTCCTCTGAAGGAACCAAAATCACCATAATCTTAAGACATGTGCAAAATAATTTGTACATTTTAACTTTCTTTCAACTCTCATGGTCTAAATGTTTTTATCCAGTAAACAATGTTTTAATTAATACATAGCAACCTAGAACATACCATAACTAAAAAAAAAAAAATCGAGTAAAACAATTCATTTGCAGTGGGATTTCACAGTTTGACTGTAAGTCAACTCATCCCTATTGTACTTATATCTGGAATTTAGGGACAAAGGGAGTAATGACATTTCACTAGAAAGAGGATATCTTGAAGCCTGAGCTTTTTGGAATTTAAATGTTATAATTCCATTTTCTTTATGAGCTACTTTGAAGTTTTAAAATGAGATTCTTTTGAATCTTCAGTTTTTGAGAACTTCATAGCTTGCCTTACAAATATATCCCAACTCTAATCCAGACCCCCACAGTTGTGACTCTCTGCTGCAGGTGGAGTGGCACAGCCATGCTACCTGTTTGGAACAGCATCGGTGCCTTCCATTTCCTCATACGTGTCTTCATGACATAGCAAGGGTGAGGAGCAAGGATAGAGAATGAATGCAGCCTTTAAGCCACTGGGTTTTTTTTTTTTAAATGTATCACACTCTGTCCTAGATTCTTAGTTACTATTTGCAATAATATTAAGCACTATTTTATTATATAGTTCACTGTGTAGACCAGGCTGTCTTCAAATTCAGAGAGATCTGTCTGCCTCCGCTTTTTGAGTGCTGAGATTAGGGTGTGCTACACCATGCCTGAGTAAACACTTAGCCTTAAGATACACAGGTATCTTAAGATGCTATATAGAAGTATAGCAAAGTGTTATTAGTGGTTATAGGTGGGTAAATTAATGCTGAATAATTTTTTCTCAATTGTTGTTCATATTAATTAAAGCAATATGTATAACTTGTAATCAATATAGTAGCAAGGTCTAAAAATTAGACAAGAATTATGAAATATTAAAAGTTAGTGCCATACTGTGTTTATAAAAAGAGTAGATATGCATTCCTTACTTTACATTTCAGTACCTAACTTGAAACTCGAAACAGAGTCTAGACACCATGCTTTTTATGATAAGATGTCCATATTCCTATGTTGATATTACTGTGAACTGAGTCTTGATAGTCAAAAAATTCAGCTATGGACTGAAAAATCTTAAGAACAATTTAGCAGTTTTGACTAGGGAAATACCTAACATAGAGAAGCTGTAAATGCCAGCAGTTTCTGGAAATTGGAGATGGAGAAGAGGAAGAAGAACGCCATGTTGCTTGAGTTAAAGAGTCTGAAAGCTGGCATGTTCAGTCATAAAAGTTGGTATGCAGCTACCTGGCAGAAGGGAGAAAGTGTAGAGATGGTGAAAAAGCCCAGAGATTTAGGGTTAACACGTCTAAGGTTTGATCACTCTCTGAAAGAAAAAGAGAAGAAAAGGGGATAGATATGCTTTTTCCTCCCCTCTCCTTAGCCTTCTTTTTTTTTTTTTTTCCAAGAAATCAAATTTCCTGTGGCATGGACTCCTGGCCAGGTGATTGACAGGCTTAGCTGGATTGCCTCTTAAATGAGACAATACTATATAATGTTCTAATCTTTAGGACAGATCAGAATGTCATGGTCTCCACCCAGGGCCAGAGATATTTCATTCTTTTGACCAGGAGGCCCAAGAGTGGCAAAGCTGATATGTTTACCTTTGTAGAGTTACCAGGGAAACTGGAAGTACAATGCAAAGCTTACTTTGAGGGAGGAGTCTGTCCTCAATGGACTCTAAGACTTACAGCAAAAGATGGATTCATCTAGATCTTGGCTTAGGAGTTTGAATTTTAAGGAACAGTATGTGTAGAGATTAAAGCAAAGCTGTATTTTTGTAAATCTTAAATGTTTTAAGATATATCAGGGAAGGTAAAGTATGAAAGGCCACACTAAAAAGAATGCCATTGTTGAGTAGCTAGAAAATGATTGATTGAAGTCCTAACAGATTAGTGAGAGAGAATGGAGAGGTCAGTTGCTAGAAATGTTAAGGATGTAAGGCATTGTGTGAATGCCCAGAACAATTCCTTGATATTTCATCAGGTTCTAATCTGAATATCTGGGGATGTGCTGTTAATAAAGAGTAGAAGAAACAACTAAGGAATCTAATGAATTGAATGATTTGCTGTCTCAAAGAGTTAACATATTCATGTTTCAACTATTAGTATATTATTTTTATAAAGAACAAACATTGTTTATCATCTAGTGAGAATGTATCATGTATATTAATTTGAGGATGTTCTTCCTGGTGTAAGAACAATGAATTTTAAAGTAGCTGATGTGTTTATTGAAGTACAGAACTTGTTTTCTTTCTTTTTACTAGTGCTTCAGGCTAGATCTTAGTAGAGGCTATATGGGACTTAACATATACCCATTAAAATTTGTTGCATTTTCCTTTTGGATGCTGTCTTTGTCCGTTTATGGCACTAAGGATTAAACCCAGGCCCTGAGTTTACTGAGCTTTTAAGTTCTCCTGCTAAGCTAATCACTGTCCACTATGATCATTTTTAAAATTTAAAATTTTCTTTTAGGTTTGTGTGGTGTGTGTGTGTGTGTGTGTGTGTGTGTGTGTGTGTGTGTGTGCGCGCGCGCGCATGCGCGTGTGAGTGGGTGACTGTGCATGTGTATTTTGAGAGGGTTTCTCTGTATAGCAACCCTGGCTGTCCTGGAACCTTACTCTGTAGACCAGGCTAGCCTTGAACTAACTAAATAGCACCTGAAATAACCACACAGAAACTGTAGTAGTTAAAACACTGCATGGCCGTTAGCTCTAACTTCTTATTGGCTAATTCTTACATATGAATTTAACCCATTTCTATTAACCTGTATATTGCCACATGGCTGTGGCCTACCGGGAAAGATTTTGGCACTCTGTCTTTGGCAACTCCATGGTGTCTCTCTGACTCTGCTTTCTTCCTCCCAGCATTCAGTTCTGTTTTCTCCGCCTACCTAAGTTCTGCCCTATCAACTAGGCCAAGGCAGTTTCTTTATTCATTAACCAATGAGAGCAACATACAAACAGAAGGAACTCCTATACCACCATGCTATAGACCAAGCCAGTTCCGTATTCATTAACCAATAAAAGCAACACATAGACAGAAGGACCTCCCACACCAGGGATGAGCCAATGACAAGCTACAGTCATTAACAACATGCCTCCAATGACCTATTTTCCCTACCTAGGCCCCATCCCTGAAAAAATTGATCACCTTCAATAATGCCATCAAATTATGAAACTATTAGTGAATTAATCCATTTATTAGGTCAAGACTCTTATAATTTCAGCACAGGAGGTTTTTGGAGATAACCTTATATCCAAATCATAACATATCAAAAACTATATGAAGTAATACATGAAACTGTATGATTGTTTCCAGCTTTAGCAGTCATTATTATCAACTATTTGAATCCATAGTATTTATTTATTTACTGCATGTATGTGCACATACATGGGGGAAGGAGGGCAGAGGTCAACTTTAGCTGTCTTAATCTCTCTCCCCTTTAATTTTTCTTTTCTTTTAAAACACAAGGTCTTTATGTAGCTCTGCCCTGTAGCCTACAGAACTCTGTAGATCAAACTGGCCTCAGAACTCACAGAAATTAGACCATGTCTCCCTCCTGAGTGCTGGGATTAAAGGTGTACACCATTGTGCCCAGATACACCTTAATTTTTGAAACAGGATCTTATTGAACCTGGGGCTCAGACTGGCTGGGTAGAGAGCACTGGAAACACATTTGTCACCCACTAGGGCTACAGACTCATGCTGCCTTGCCCAGCATGTGAGTTTAGGGATATGAACTCAGGGCCTCCTGCTTGTGTGGTAGGCTTTTTACTGATTAAGCTCTCTCTCTCTCTCTCTCTCTCTCTCTCTCTCTCTCTCTCTCTCTCTCTCTCTCTCTCTCTCTCTCTCTCTCTCTCCCTCCCTCCCTCCCTCCCTCCCTCCCTCCCTCCCTCCTCTACCTGCATTTACATTTTATTGGAAAGCTTCACCAAGTGGTTTGTGCCTCTGTGACATTATATATGTGCGCATGTATGTATGTGTGTGTATATATAATATAAAACAATATAATATATAAATATATTTGCATAACATGCATATGTATGTGTGTAAAATGTATATGTGCATATATATGCAAATATTTGGGGTAAGAAATCTTTCTTATCCCTAAACATCTTCACATTCTTGCAGGTGGTTTGAATTTTTCGTTTACAAATTTCATGAACTCAATGTTTTACAACCACAGGTATGAGATCTTAATTGACGTTTCCTACATTAGCAGTAGGGCATACTAAGGACTTTTGATCATATTTTTTTCTGTGGGATCCTGGTACTTTTTGCTAGAGTAAGTTGGAATCTGTGGGGTTCTTTCTGAAGAACCTCAAGTGCAGCTGCTGAACGCCAGCCTTCACAGTCCAGTGTGTGTTCTTGCTTTCTGTTTTCAGCCTTCTGCTAAGATACTTTTAGCACTTTGATACCTGGGCTGTTGCTGCTTACTGGTGTTTTAAAACTTACTGAACAAAATCATAAAAACACTTCTGCTCTATGTTCACATCACTTACATAATAACGAAAAAGGAAGTTCTTTTAGAAGTTTTTGAAATATGTTTTTCTCTTTGGAACCCAGTGAAGGAGTACCTCTTTAAGAAACAAACAACAAAATGTTCTACTTTTAATTGTGTTTCTGTTTGTGGGTATGTGCATGTGAGTGCAAGTGCCCACAGAAGCCAGAGGAGGCTGTAGGATCTCCTGAAACTGGAGTTACCCAGTTGTGAGCTACCCAGGGTGGGTTCTGAAACCTAATTTGGGTCCTTGCAAGAATAGTGTGCTGACCTTGTCTATTCTATGTTCCTTTCTATCTTTTGCTTACTTTTCTTTTATTGTTCCAAGTCACAATTAACTTTTATTGGTAGGATAAACGTTTTGTCATTTTTCTGTGAACGGTAGTAGGGTATAGGATGCTTCACTTCTGTGATGCCAAGAGACTAAAATTGTCAAGGAGTTTGAATCAAAACATCTTCAGTATCAAACAAAATTTACCCATTCTTCTTCACTTTTGAAAATCTTACTGGCTTAAAGCAGCTCTCCTATTTTCTCTTCATTGTTGCTTCTCTTCTCCCTAGGCCTTTCCTTTATATAATTGCCATCTGTATTAGCTATTAACTCAAAGTGTGCCTGAAATGCTTCAGTGATTTAAAATAATATCTCTCTTTTTTGCTACCTTTAAGATCTATACAAATTTCATGATACTTCGAATAGATTTCTCAGTGTTCAAGGAGAAGTTTTCTATACTTTTTTATTATCAAATTTCCATCAATTTTTAAAACACCACTTTTTCATAGTTGGATTTCCACACTGGTTCAGTTCTGAGATTTCTGTTCTATAGTTAGCTTCTATCCCTCAGCTAGGTACCTTTGAAAACATCCATGAATCATCAGTGAAATCATCACTGAATTATTAGTTACCTTTGAAATCATCTTTCTACTGGGTAACAACTAGTGTTTTGTTCCTCCATAATTCCATCTGTGAGAACAGTTCTGGAATGGTGTGTTTGTGTGTGTGTGTGTGTGTGTGTGTGTGTGATAAGAACATATCCTTATTCTCTCTTTCTCTCTCTCTGTCTCTCTCTCTCTGTCTCTGTCTCTCTCTCTCTCTCTCTCACACACACACAAACACACACACACCCTGTATTTTAAGAATATACTTCGTAAGGAAGTCTAGGTTTTTCTCCATCTTATTCAACATGCCTTCTTTTCTTTAGTTCTTTCACTATGAATATAAGTGTATCATCTCTTGTAAAATTTAATTCATTTGGAAACTGAGAAAACCTGATATTGAGAGGATTTATTTTTATTTTAGGTTTCATTTTAATTTAATCTTATATTGTGCATATAATTGTATTTCAGGCACCAATTTGAGAATTTATGAAGAAAACAGTCTCTCCCTTGGTAAAGTAATTACTCTCTCCTTACCTTTTGGTAACAAATGAAAATTGACATCACAATTGATGTAAAACCTTTACTATTTATAGTAGGAAAGCCAGATCTTTAGGCTTACCTCCATGCCGAGGTGCTCTGATCTTCCTCACATACAATAAATGTAGAGAACTTGAGGAAGAAGATAGAACAATCCTGTTCAAATAACCTTGGCCTACAGCTGGTAGGCTCTCACTAATCATTGCAAACATTAACCCATGGACTAAGTGATTTTTTTGTGAGGGTGGAATTTGTCTTCACTATGGTATATTTTGAGAAGGACTAAGTTCATATTTTATAGGTAAGATTGTAGTAGGAAAGAGTTATTATGTCTAGAGTTTAGGAAGAGGATAAAAATAGAGTAAGAGAATCCTGAGTGATGTTTTGGTGTCTACCCTTCTCTTTTCTTTAGCTTTCTAGTATATATGGCTTTCAGTATAAGCCTTTTGCCTCTTTCCTGAGTATATAGAAAGTATTAGCTGTAGAAGTGGGAAAGAAGAAAGTTGGTCCTTATTTTTATACAAAATATAGATAAAATTATAATACTTTTTATATTATGGGAATATAAGAAAAACAGGTTGCATCTGGATAAAGACCTTTTAAAAATAAAAAAAAACAAAGTAGAAAATGCTGCATATTTGTATAAGCTAGCAGAATGCAGTTTAACAGAATATTTAAAATATAAAGTCACAACTGATTCTAAATATTACATATATCTTAGTTCAAAGAGTTATTTACAGTGTTTTAGTGGCATTTGGCTCAAACCAAGGTTGATTGTTAGGATGGAGATAATGTGCAGTCTTCTTGTTTTTACTTTTTCTTTCTTCTTCTCCTCCTCTTTCTCCTCTTTTTTCCTCCCTCCCTCCCTCCCTCCCTCCCTCCTTTCTTTTTCTTTTTCTTTTTTTTTAATGACACAGAGTTTCTCTGTATAGCCCTGACTGTCCTGGAACTCACTCTGTAGGCCAGGCTGGCTTTGAACTCATAGAGAGCTGCCTGCCTCTGCCTTCCAGGAGCAGGGTTTAAAGGTATACACCATCACCACACTGCTTTGTTTTTACTCTTTTAAAAAAGCTTTTTTGTGTTTTGAGAAGTTCATACATTTATACAATGTGATTATATATATCTACCACTCTCCACTTTCAGCTTCTTCTAGTGCGTACCACCTAGTGTCCTCACCTTCGCGTCATCTTTAAAAATCATTATTAGTAACTCCCTGTGTCGAATTAGTGATACCTGTATGTATGATAATGGGATAATCACTGGGGCATTGACAACCTCTCAGTACCCGAGTACTCAAGAAGGGTGACTCCCCATCCGTCAGCAACCATCAGTTGCCAATAGGTCTTCCACTAGGGACCTTGGGAGCCCCTCTCCTATCCATGCTGGGTCATGCATAGGTCTTGTGTTGGAAGCCATAGCTGCTGTGTATAACATCCATTTCATTTTCAGAAATCAATATTTCATTGCTTTCTTCCCCCTCTTCTTTCAGGGTCCTGAGCTGTGGACTGGGAGGCTGATATAGAAAATCCATCCATAGCTAAGTGCTCAATCACTTTTGTGCTTCTGTTTTTTGGGTATACACCCCCCCCCCCCAAAAAAAAAAAAAGGTAGCTTTCCCCTACTAAGGCCTATGCTCTTCTTAGTCATAGGTTTTTGACCAGGTTTACAGTACCAGGTATAAACGTCCTTCCTGTGAAACAGGCTAATATCTAATCAGTATTTTAAGTTTATTATTTATTTCATGATTCACCAAAGTGCATTTATTTCATATATTAGATTTTAGTTGAATATTTTCATATAAAAATTATTTTTTAGGTTTAAGAAATATACTTGATAATGATAGAATCTGGAGTTTGTTTCAAACTTTTATGTATAGTTGGTTGATTTCTGTGAGAAACTAGGTTTAATGTCTTTTCTTTCCTTTTGAGTGGAGTACATTCCTATGATTTTACTTAATTTTCTTCTTATGAAGATTTATTATCTTTTGTTAAGCTAATGAATATAAATGAAGGGGATGTCAAAGGTTTGGGTAGAAAGGATACAACTACTTCGTTACAAAGCATGTCATCTGAGGCAAATGATTTTTTTTTTCCATGTTAGGAACTGTTTGTAGCTAAAAGAACCAAAGCTTACAAATGAAAGCTGGTACAGGAGGCCTTAAGTAAAAGTGAAATTTCCCAAATCACATTCTGATGGATATTTGGGGATGTTCTGCAAACAATCATATTTATAGAAACCAGAACTGAAGAGTTGCTGTTAATTTAGACAGATATGGACAAGTATTGTGTTTTCAAGTAGGTGAATTATGGGAACCACTGAGCATGATAGTCGTTTAGTGAGTAAATCTGATGACTTGTTTATTGAAAAAATGGTTGACAGTAGGAAGAGAAGGTTATCTGTATCTCTGTGCCACCAGATAATTTAAATGGTTTCTGCTTAAAAATAGGATTATTGATAATAGTTATGGGGTATGTGACAGACTCAGCATATGTAGATTTCAGTCTACTTTCCTTTTTCTAAACGAATTTTCTCAGGTAGAGAAATAGGAGAGACTTAGTAGCTGATTTAATAGCCTTGCCAAAAAGATGTTGACTTTAGTATGTAACTAGGGGATCTATCTGAACATGTTCTTGTTACGTGTCTGTGTCTGAGTTAGTTTTTGGATATGACCTTGATGATGACATGAAAAAGGTGTGCATGTTTTCAGGTGACATGAACAGGAAGTAAATGCTGATATACTGGTTTTGCATACCTGATTATTTGGGCTGGCACTGGGAGTGGGAAGAATGAAAGATGTGAAATTAGGACCGCTTAAGAGCAGTCTATGTGTAGGAAAGGTGTAACGTTTCTGCTGACTATCCTTACATTACTACCGTACAACAGTTCAATTATAGAAACAGGACATGACAATTTATACTATAGTCTTTTTTTTTTTTTTTTTTTTTTTTTGAGACAGGGTTTCTCAGTAGCTTTGGAGTCTTCCTGGAACTAGCTCTTGCAGACCAGGCTGGCCTTCAGCCCACAGAGATCAGCCTGCCTCTGCCTTTCGAGTCCTGGAATAAAAGACGTGTGCCACCACCATCCAGCCTCATCCTGTACTCTTACAGTTCACTTGGACCATGTTTAAGAGGAATATGGATGTTAATTTGAGCTATGAACAGGATATGCTCTTGAGAGAAGTAGAAATTTTGGATACCTTTGGGAAAGTAGTTAAAATGAGAGCTGTCAGACAGATATCTAATTCAGACAAGAGACTGTATAAAGAAGTTTATGATGGCTGCCAGGTACATTTGACAAACTATGGTATGTTTTGTTTATATAGTTTCAAATCAAAGTAAAACTTGTAGGTAGATGTCATTTTTTGTTTCGTAATGATATTCTAATAAGTGAGTCTGTAAAGTAAATCATTTTTATTTTGCTGCTACCAGAGATTGAATTTGCTTTAGCTGTCTACCACTGAACTATTTACACCGCAAAAATTGTCTTTAGATGTAGTGAATTATCTATCAATAGCTGCATTTGGATTTGCTTAAGCTTCTGGATGGTAGGTGCATCATACATACTATGTACATAGATAGTCTTTAAGACAGCATAAAATGTGAAGATGTAGAAGCACCTATTCTAACTACCATTTTGGAACATACTTAGGAGCTCTTTTTTTGGTTTTTCGAGACAGGGTTTCTCTGTGGCTTTGGAGCCTGTCCTGGAACTAGCTCTGTAGACCAGGCTGGTCTCGAACTCACAGAGATCCACCTGCCTCTGCCTCCCGAGTGCTGGGATTAAAGGCGTGCACCACCACCTCCCGGCATCGTTTTCTAACTCTTTTCCTTCTCTTTCACGCCTGTGTACATTTATCTAGCACTGTGACCCATTTAGAGGTCTTCTTCATCTGAATTTGTCTTTATTGCATATTTGTAATTTTTTTCTGACCAGAAGTGCTTTCTAAAAAGCTAAGAAGCACTATTATTACTAAGGCTGCTTTACCTTTTTGCTCTGCTCAGTCCAACATGTCTTAGGAGTTCCGTTCATTGCCTCTGAGACTGCCAGGTGGGAGCTGTCCTCACCACCTCAACTCTGATACGCAGTTGGCCCATGCTGCCACCAAGTAACTTGCAGCACACTGCCCTGAAACCCTATTTAAATGCTCAGCCTTTTGAAAGAGCCAGAGTTTAGCAAGGCCCAGAAAGCCGCTGTTTCAAAACTGTGCGGCTCCCCCCCGCCCCCACTACAGCTGAATCAGGAAAATTTCTCTTAAAGGAGCTTGACATGCTGCCAGCCAACAGCAAGAAGCTGTGTTGAACTGGTTTTTTGTCTAGAATTCCTTTTAAGCTCTCTCAGGTTTTTATGTGGATGTAGTAATCCACGGTGCCAATTTGTTGTAAGATGCTGTTTGTTCGTTTCCCAGCCCCCCAGGCTTTTGAAAATAATCACTCAGAAAGTGTATTAATTAAGTCACTAATTGGCTTATTAACCCTAACTTCTTTTTGGCTAGCTCTTACATCTTAATTTAACCCATTTCTATTAATCTGTATGGCCACAAGGCTGTGGCTTACCTGGTAACCTTCTGGCGTCTGTCTCCCGTGAGGCTACGTGGTTTCTTTCTGATTCTGCTTCCTTTCTCCCAGCATTCAGTTTAGTTTTCCCCACCCAGCTCTACTCTGCCCTATCAGGCCAAGCTTATTTATTTATTAACCAATGGTATTCACAGCAAACAGAGGGGAATCCCATCTCAGATTTCTATCCTGATAAAACAGTATAGGGCGTTTTTCCTTATGTCAGTCATGTACATTCATACAGAGCTAATGTTTTCACATATCCTTTAAGTTTTATCTGCCTTTTAAAATGTGAAGTTGGTAACATTTTCCATAGTAATGTGCTTTTTAACTCATTTCTCTATAAGGTGGTTGAAGATTATGCTGGACGATGGCAGGTCCCTTTGCCACAGCTTCAGGTTCTTCAGACTGCACTTTGCTGTTTCACGTCAGCCAGCTCATCGTTCCCAGATGAATGTGAGCACGTACAGTATGTTTTGAGTAGTCTTGCTGTGTAAGTATACTTTTTTCTTATCAACAACACATTTATTTTTTTGCTTTGATATAATAGCTTTTGCTCTTTCTTCTGAGGATAAAACCTTTCCTAATTTCTTACCCCAATAAGAAATTGTCATTTCTTTACTTCAGTTATTTTGTTTTAACTTTCAACATTTAAGAAGAATTTTACTTTTATTGGGTTGAAGTGGATTTGTGGCATACACATTTTCTTGTCACTGCATTGGGTTTTAATTTTCCAGGTGACCTTAGAAAATTCTAAGGGTAAGTCTCAGCATATGGTCATTGAGGCCATGGTAATAAGCAGAGAGGGATCTTAAAACTTTCTAGAAAGGGGTCCAGAAACTCCCAATTTTAAAAATCGCTTGTAGGTAGAATTGAGTTAAAATTACACACTGGGCTTTTTGTTAAGAATTAGCTGCTTTAGTATTGTAGTAGTTGAAGGTTCTCCTTCAAGATCCAGGATTTCACTTACCCTGACTTGTGGATAGGTGTTCATTACTAGGCATGATTTCCCTCTTGTTGAGTTGGTCATAAGGCCAATTAGAGAACTGTTAGTTACCACTGAGGTATGTGTGCTGCTACTGCACCCCAGAGTTATGCCATCCTGGTCATTGATGTGGTTCATAAGCATCATAGCTGGGTTAGGACTGTTGGTTGAGTTGCCTCATTTGATGTTAAAGGGAGCGGGGCCCCTTGTTCCATCCTGCCCAGCTAACTTAACCCCCAAAATACCCATTGCCTGGCCCATTAGTTCTAGCCTCTTATTGGCTAACTCTTACATCTTGATTCAATCCATTTCTAATAATCTGTATGTCACCACGAGGTCATGGCTTACTGGGAAACATTCAGCATGTCTGACCTGGCATCTCCATGGTGGCTCTCTGTCTGCCCTTCCCAGCATCCAGTTCTATCTACTCTGCCTACCTAAGTACTGCCCTATCCAAAGGCCAAGGCAGTTTCTTTATTCAACCAATGAAAACAACACATAGACAGAAGAACCTCCTACAACAATTTGAAAGCTTGAGTGTCACCTTCTATTACTATGAAAACTGGTCCTCAGGGAAGAAACAGTCAAATAATTTCAAGCTTAGGGAGCTTTTGGGTCATGTGTTCGAAGTCCATGGTGGTCTTCAGAAATAAAAACTTACCTTCTACTTCTGGGACAACCAAGGACAATAGCAATAGTCTCTAATGTTCTGGGAGTCTCCTCAACAACCCTTGTCAACACTTCATACTCGAATATAGAGAAGGAGTCAGTCAGTTTTAACTTTCCTAACTAGAATAGTTATATATTCTCATTTCCTGGTATTAGGTGATTTTTTTGGCTTGAGGAGGAGGCGTTGTTAGTCCAGATAAGAAAATTTCATTTAAACTATGTACATTTATACACACAAACTTAGGCATATTATAGTTTTTCTTAGATAGTTAATAGTATGATTTCTTTTAAGCATCCTTATTGTCATTATATCCTCCCTTCTGTATTTATCCCACTCCCTATTTAGGGCCTCCATTCCCATTGTTTAAAATGTCATATAATGATTTTATTTTTATGTTTGATAGCTTATGTACTGCTGCCCATATGAAATACAATAGTTTAAGAATCACTATGTGCCCTGGGTATGATTACACTAGTCTGAAATCCCAGCATGTAAGTATCTTGTAGAGGCAAGAGAATCAGAAGTTGAGGGTCATTCCTGTCTATATAGGGAGTTTGAGGCCAACATAGTTATGTGAAACCCTCTCTCAAAAAATAAGAATCAAATGTTATGTAAGATAGAGTGCTAGGTGAAAGAATTAGTTATTCGAACTGCTTGTTAAGTATTGCTGTTTTTTAAAAGGAAAAGTTTATTACTGGAATTTACTATAATAGAAAAGAGAATTGTATTTTCACTTCTAGAAGAAAAATAGAGAAACAGCAAAATGATTGTTTCTGTAAAGTAGTAATAAGTTTGTGATGATGGTATTTTATTTTTCTAAACTAACCAGAAAATTATAGAAGTGCGTAACTATTCTTTATTTTCTGTAAAGCTTTGTGCTTTGTTCTTAGGTCAAAGTAGAAAACAAATAAGTCTTATTCTTAAAATTCTTGCAGAGTTTCGAGATACTAAATCACCAGTTATACCTTTATGTAATTGCAATTTTGAGATAATTGCAGTGTATAATGAGGGGGCATAGCAAAGGCTTTACCTGGCCTTGGATGCTATGGGAAATCTTCTGGTTGAGTTAACACTTACTGACTTCTGAAAACATGCAAGGAATAACTTAAGTAAGCAGCACATAATGGTACCTGTACAAGAAGTCAGAATATTCACAGAAGTAATTATAAAATGTTTAGTTTCTGTTTGAAGACTTCTCTTTCATAGTTTATATCATGTATGGGTAACTTTTATTCAGTTGAAAAAACATATATGTCTGAGCTATGTGTTTTAAGAGTCTGTTTTATATTCATGTAATTATATGCATATATATGCTATATGTAAATATAAGCTAATGTAATTTATATATGCCCCTCTTTACAAAATTCTTTACTAATGTAATTATGCAGGAAGAGAGGCCATCTCCAGGCTGGACAGTTGAACTATGGCTATTGAGGGGATCTTTTCAGAGAATGAAAATGAATTCTGTTTTTATTCATCTGAAGATTTTTCAAATGTTTTAGAAATGAAGAGCCATTTAGGAACATATTTTAAATCACTAACCACAATATGTCTGTCTTTACTATGGTTTACTTCTTTTGTAAACTATATTTAATACAGAAATAAAAGTTTTCTTTCTCTCTCTGTGTGTGTATACACATATATTTGAATTAAAGTATACCTCTCAAATATTCATTCTTGTAGAAAAGGAAACCGAGGATTGAGAAGTTTGGAGACTTGTAAATTCCAGGTAGCTAGTTATAACTAGTTAGCTAGTCTTTTTCTCTTCTCCTGTAAATTAATAAACACTCCTTTCTCCCCCACCTTCCCTTCCTCCCTCTTTCCCTCCCTCCCTCCCTTCCCTTCCTTCCTCCCTTTTTTTCTTCCTTTATTGAAAATAGATTCTTCTCTTATACAGTACATCCCAACCACAGTTTCCCCTTGCTACACTTCTCCTAGCCCCCTCTTCACCTCTCTTCTCCCTCAGATCCACTTCCCCTTTATTTCCCTTTAGAAAAGAGCAGGCCTCCAAAAGACAACAGCCAAACAGGACAAAACAAGATACAATAAAATAAGGTGAAAGCCCACACATTGAGGCTGGACATGACAACCAATAGGAGGAAGTCTCAAGAACAGGCAAAAGGAGTCAAATATACACCTGCTCCTACTGTTAGGAGTCCCATAAAAAACACTAAGCCAACAACCATAACATATATGTAGTGAACATGGTGCAGATCCTTGTAGGCCCCAAGCTTGCTGCTTTCGTCTCTGAGCCATGTTCTCCTGGTGCTGTCTATCGCCACTCTTACAGTCTTTACTCCTCCTCTTCCCTGATCTTCGAGGGTAGGGACCTGATTTAGACTTTCCCTACATAATTTGTAGTTCTGAGTCTCTGCACCCACTCTCCATCTGCTGTTGGAGGAAGCCTCTTTGATGATGACGAGACAAGATACAGATCTATGAGTGTATCAGTAATTTCTAGCTTTCATAGATTACAAAACAATGGTGTATGAAACTGAAAACCAAGATAGCTATCAGTTTTATATGACTTCAGATGTTAATGTTGCTTTACCAGCCTTTTTTTTTTTTCAACAAGGAAACTGTTCATGGATTTTAGCATACCAGACTGAGATGAGCAAATAGGAAACTTAAGTATTTGCCTGATAGACATCAGGTTCCCAGATATTATCAGAGGCGTGGACTTGTTAGACTCGTAGCATTTATATGTGCAGTGGACAAAAAAGCATATGCTTATATATATCTTAATATGTCAAGTTGTAGCATGTATGATTAGCTTCTTATTCAGAACAGTATACATTTGTGGCTGTACCACATGTGTAATGGTAGATTACTTTTTTGATTATCTTTATTGTACTATATTTCAAACTTGATTTTCTATTGTATTGCAACCAAGGTTCATTTGATTCATTGATAATATATAGTAATGTAGATACAAGTATCAACCAATTTGGAAATCAAAGGAAGAAAGAATAATTATTTAGAAATCAAAAGAAGAAACAATAATTACTACAGTACATTTGGCTTCTTTTTAAAATATAGTGTGTTTGTGAGTATGTGTGTGTTTTACTTGTTTGGGGTCAGAGGACACCTGAGGTAGTCTGTTCTCTCCTACCGTGTAGGTCCTAGGGATTGAACTCAGGTCATATGTTTCGTGGTAAGTCTTTTACACTTGGCCATTAGCTCTAACTTCTTATTGGCTAACTCTTACACATTAATTTAACCCATCTCCATTAATCTGTGTATCTCCATGTGGCAATGGCTTACCAGAGATTCTAACCAGCATCCATCTCAGGCAGAGCATCCATGGCTTCTATTACTCTGCCCTTCTTCCAGCATTCAGTTCTGTTTTCTCCACCTACCTAAGTTCTGCCCTATCAAGCCAAAGCAGTTTCTTTATTCATTAATCAATGGAAGCAATACACAAACAGAAGGAACTCCTATATCAGACTGACGACCCCGTGTTTCTTCTTCCCTGAAAGTGGCTATAAGAAAACTTTTTTTTACTCTAATATAATAGAATACTTGAAAATTTTCAACTTAAAAAAGGGCAGATTATTTATTTTGTTTGTTGAGTCTACGCATGTGTGTGTGGAGGGTTGCCCTTGTGTGTGGAGGTCCCATTTATTGTTTCTCTCAGTGTCTGTGCTGTTGGGGTTATAATCAGGAAGTGGTTTCCTGTGTTAGCATGTACAAGTATACTTCCCACTTTCTCTTCTGATGTTCAGTGTGGCTGGCTTTATGTTGAGGTCTTTTATCTATTTGGACTTGAGTTTTGTGCATAGTGATAGATATGGATCTATTTTCATTTGTCTACATGTTGATATCCAGTTATGCCAGCACCATTTGTTTAATATGCTTTCTTACATTTGATATTTTTTGCTTCTTTGTCAAAAATCAGGTGTTCGAAGATGTGTAGATTGATATCTGGGTCTTCTATTTGGTTCCATTAATCAGCACCCATGGTGTTTGCTCTGTTCCTGTGGAGTTTGCGGTCTCAGGCCTGCTCTGGTCTAGGTTTCTGACTCAGACCTGTTCCTGTAAATGCCCCTGGTCTGGATCTGCTCCTGCAGAGGTCTCTAGGTTGGGGTTGGTTCTCCAAAGATCTCTGGCTCTGATCTTCTCCCTTGGAGGTCCCAGACCTGGGTATACCCAGATCTGCAGAGGACCTGACTCAGGCCTACTCTCTCAGAGGTCCCAGCCTCATGCTTTGACCTGTAGCAGTTTCTAGTTCCTGCCTACTCCCTAGCAGGTCCCAGACCAACGCCAGGACTCTGAAGAGGTCCTGGCAGAGGCCTACTCCCTTTCCTTTTCTGGTTCATCTTTGCCTTCTGCCTTCAAGAGAGATAACTGCTTTTATTAGTTTTTGGTCTCCTTAGGCAATCTACAAAAATATAAATATTGTATTGTAGTATGAATAATAAAAACCCAGAAATAGATACTGGGGTCTAACTTGAAGATCGTAAAAGCAAAGCAGCCAGCCCCTAGAGAGACCTTAAAAACCCAGAGATAGATACTGGGGTTCAACCTGAAGATCATAAAAGCAAAGCAGCCAGCTACTAGAGAGACCTTACCTCTATCAAATCTTCAGACTGAAGGGGTGAGAGAGATCCTGTTTCCATGAATTCTCAAACTACACACTACACTGAGTTCCTGTCTCTTCCCCCATTATATTCCTCTCTCTTCCCAGCCATATCCCTTCTGTCTCCACCTCCCTAGTGCTTGGAATAATGACATGTGATTCCAAGTGCTGGGATCACCTTTATATAAGCTCTGTTTCTCTTTTTTTTTATTATCTTCTTTTTTTTAAATTTTATTTTATTTATTTATTAAAGATTTCTGTCTCTTCCCCACCGCGGCCTCCCATTTCCCTCCCCCTCCACCAATCAAGTCCCCC